AACCCTAAACCCTAAGCCCTTCATGTAAACGACAACCCAGTGACTTGGCAGTGATCGAGCCGCATTTTGGAGACCTACCGGTTACATACGTGCCTGAGAACGTGGCGCAGCCGCTCTCAACTGAGTTGCCGCGCATTCGTAAGTTTCTGGAAGTATATCCTGGTACCCTGGATATTCCAATTGGTGACTTCGTGCTGTCTAAAGGTGCCGGAGCAAATTACAGAGCCACAGTGCTAGCCGGGACTGTCACTGTCCCCGTCAGAGTATCTTGGCGTGAAGTCAATCAGCCTAGAACGAATGATGGTGTGGTGGACGAAGTCTGGGCCATGGGGTTGTTGGTTATAGAAGATCAGCAACCGGCCAAAGTTCGAGCCGGCCGAGAGTCTGACATACCGGCCTGCATCGTCAGCACTAGTTTTCTTAATTCCGGGTTTCGGGTTTAGGCTTTAGGGNNNAGGGTTTAGGGGTTAGGGTTCCTGAATTTGGTAATAGTATAGTGAGGGCTGCTCAGAAGCCCACACTACGCAATTCTCGTTTCGGCCTGTGCAAAAAGCCCTCGTCAACATACCAACAGCACCCACATTGCCAAAAGCTGTCGACCCTCGCTCAACCACTCATCTGCAACTTAAGTTTAGGCTATAGGGATCCTTATTCTATTTCTACCATAATATACACCAAAACCTTATTCCCTAAACTGCCCTAAACCCTAATAAAACCCTAAACCCTAGACTGCCCTAAAACCCAAAAAGTATTAAGGCCCCTAAGTCACTTTTCAGATTTTTGATTCATAGGGCTTGCGTTTCTGATCTTAGGTCTCCTGAAGGAAGGCTCGGGTTCCGGGAGCACCTAAGATCCCTACGGTTGATGCTACAAATCCTGCATTACCCCTAAGAAGGACATAAGGTTTAGGGTTTAGGGACCCATAAGGCCCATAATAAGGAATAGACCATAATCCTGAAGGTAGTGCAGGATTTATATCCTCAACAGTATGGATTCCCAGCCACAGGCGCTCCTGGTGGCTGCCAAGGATGGATGGGTTGCTGGCTTTTTGGCGGGGGGCCCCGAACCTTAAATCCTAAACCCTAACGCTAAACCCGAACTTAGGGTTTAGGGTTTAGGGTTTAGGGTTTAGGGTTTAGGGTTTAGGGTTTAGGGTTGGTTGTATATTGGGGATCAGGGTTGATGCCAGGGATAGGGGTTTTCGGCTTGACGTTAAACCCAGGTTCTAGAAGCATGAAGTCTCTTCCGTAGTATTCCTTCAGATTCCCAGTATACAGCATTAAGACTCCGAGACGCTATCATGATTAAACTCCTTGTCTGAACAAACCTTTCAAGCCCGACAAAAAGCGCCGTGCAGAGGACCCCTGTGCTTTAAGGTACGTAGGTAGTTCTCTAAATTAGGTTCCCGTTTTCGGTTCCCAAAATAGTGCGGCTCCCTTATAAAAGGGACCCAGATAGGATTCTAATTTAGAGAACTGCCCATAAACCCTAAACCCAAACCCGAAAAGCCCGAAAGCCTTACAGAAACCCTCAAAGGACTCCTTAAAGGGACTCTAACTGGGAGAAGTGACCACCCCTTAACCCTAAACTCCACACTTTTCGGGAGCAACTGGCAGACCCACAAAATCGTGTCGGGCTTTCCTTGAAGGGTTTAGGGTTTAATTGAGGTTTAGGGTTGAAAGGGTTCCTTTAAGGGTAGTTGCCTAGTTCTCTAAACAAGGGTGCCTGTTAGGCTCCTTTGTTATAAGGGTGCCGTAGTATATTGGGGACCGAAAAAAACGGACCCTAATTCAGAGAACTACCCACTTGCAAGCTCTATCAGTAGACTTGAAGGGTTTAAGCTTCATCCTCAACGCCTTAACTTTTTTTGAATTTGGCCCCGCGAGCTGTCGTCAGGAGCTTTGTGACATCGTCTGTGGCTATGCTACCCACTGGCTTCCTGCGCGCACGCTGGTGGATGAGGTGGCTAAGATCAACATGTAAACTTCAAGCCTAAACCCTAAATCACATCGTCTTTCCTTGTTTTTCGGCTTTCCTGGAAAACTGAACGATACGAAACGAAACGCAAAGCTTCAAGGATCTGGCTCGGAAATGGATTTGCTCCACGAGGCTATTGAAAATACTGGAACCTTAATAATAAGTCGGTTAGGGGTTTTGCAGGGGATGAAACCATAGTTTTGCAAGGGAGCCCGGACAATACCCTAAACCCTAAACCCTAAACCATAATGTTACCGGTAAGCGCACGGGGTTTTGTAGTACGATGGCGGTCTTCGGAGTTGAAGGTTCGAGGGTTGGGGCTTACTTCTAGGGCCAGCAGGTTAGAATTACCTAGAAAGTAACTTCTTGCTCCTAAACCCTAATCCCTAAACCCTGACACCCTATTATTATAGACTTATTTACAAAGTCCCATGATCCTCCAAGTACAGTTCATGGTAGTGGGGTAAACGCACGGAGCACACGCAAGTCTGGGCCACGCGCCTTAGCTTAGCTTCCGAATAGGATGTGAGAGTCCATGTTTCAGTAGAATAAAATCAAGGGGACCCGAATAGAACCCTATTGTACCCCTTAATTTAAGGGACCCAATTATCGAACCCTATACTACGCCTGAAGGGGAGGTGATCATTAGTTATACCCAAAAGGCTTAGGGTGTGATGGGGCTGAGGGTTCCCGGGGGCTTGGGGTTGAGGGTTTAGAGGTAGAGGGTTTTCGGTTAGGGTTTAGGGTTTAGGGTTTAGGGTTTAGGGTTTAGGGTTTAGGGTTTAGGGTTTAGGGTTTAGGGTTTAGGGGTTTAGGGTTCAGGTTTAGGGTTTAGGGTTTCCTTTCGGAAAAACCTGTATGAAGCCGTTGCAGCTGCCTAAGGGTAATCAGGAACCAAGACAGCACGCGAACGCAAACTATTGCATGCGAGATCCCCACCCTCGTGGCTCATGTCCGTCCCTGAAGTCTAGGACATTTTCAGGTGGGTAGTTACCGTTATAGGAGCCTTATAGAAGGTCTATATACCTTATGGAAGCCTTATAGAGGCCTTATATGCCCTAAACTCCCCACCTGCAGTTGCCTTTAACTGAAGAGAGCATTCTGGGATATCCCAACCTTAAGGTGGTGGTTTAAGTGCCTTTTGGGGGCCCCTAGGTAAGGCGGCGCCTACATCCTTGACTTCAGGTAGAGTCTTGGAAGATAGGAGTTTAATGGAGTCCATGTGTGTAGGATCTCATTTGAAGGGGGGGAACAGGGGTCGTATTCCTAGACCGCCCCATATAAACCCTCACCCTAAACCAAAAACCCTCAGCCCCAAAACCTTGAGGGATCCCAAACCTGTCGCAATAGAGTCACCTGCGGCCTGAAATCACGATGCCTCCGCACCCAAGGCA